TAGGTGTGTAGTAGGCCGTATCATTTAGACTTCTGTAAGTAACACTCTGTGATGTTCACACAACAAAATCGTCTAATAATGCACCGTTCAGAATGTATCCCTGTTGTTAAGTGAGGCGTAAGTGCATAGTATCCATCTGTAGTAAACACAATGAAGGAAACAATACAGAGTGCCGTGAGTGTCTAAGATGATGAGGCTTCCATAAAGACTTCTTTGAGGTGGTAACCTTCAGGGTTTGTCTGAAAGATAAACAGAAGTTATTCAAGCAACAAGTGTTCCAGGTAGCAGGAACACTGCTTTCTGGAATACAGCAAATATATGAGAAATGTTTGGCCCTTGTGGAAATACATGAAAGCCAATGAAGTCTGATGTGAAACACTAGAACCAAGAGACCCATTTTGGACAAGATCATATATGTTAACCTCTTAGATATGCCTCTAACCATCTGGAAGAGTGTATATGCATAGTCCATAACCAGAAGGTCTTTCAGGTATCCGGTCATAGACACATACAGAGTTGTGAGAATGGTTTGAAATATTTTTGTGACTTTTCTATCTAGTGTTTTACCAATCCAGGGAGTCCACCTCCCGCAGGCAGTGGGGATTTCATTGTTATCTCTTTGACTCCCAATCCTGTTTGTCCACCCATCTACCTTCCCCACAGGGGTCCTGGCTTAAGTTTGTCAGACTTTTAAGGCTCAAGGTCCTCCAATTTCTTCCAAGTGAAACACCTACAATACAGACATTTCTCCTGCTAGTGCTGATGTGGCATAACTTCAATGTGCTACCACCACGTGACCAACTTTTCTTTATGGTATCTGCCTCAAATCCACTCCGCTAAAGAGTACCTCATGGAAGGTACATGAGATAAGAGAATAAAGAGTTATTTTTTTGTGTTGCCACATATAACTATTTGCACTAATAACTAGTTAGAGGGCATGAGGGACAATACGGAATAAATCCCATTAGAGTAAGACCAACTCTTAGTTATCTCTGCTAATGGAAAAGATAAAGACGTTGGGGGAAATATTCACGTTTTTAATCACAGTCGTTTTTTCTTTTTAAATTAAGGTTCTCTCCTTGCCTTCCCACTGACTCAACTCTTTCTTTGTCCACAATCTTTCATTTTGTGTTTGCTCTCCAGTGAAGGGCACATCACACTGGCCAATGGAGAGTCCTAGTTGTTTTTGACCTTCTTTCCCTCACCATTCTCTTTCAATCAACCACCAGGTCTTACCAAGTATACTACGTAAGTAGTGCTGTGATCTGTCTGTGTCTTCCAATCCTAGGTGCCTCTGCCTTGGTTCAGGTCACCATTACTTCTCATCTGGATCACTCAAACAGTCCTCCCAAGCTCCTGGCCTCCAGGCTTGCTTACCTCCAGAACGTTTTTCAAGTTGCAGCCAGAGTGATTTTTCTAAAATGCAATGCTGATCAACTCACTCTCCTCTTTCAACCCTTCGATGGCTTCACATTTCCCTCAGGATGAAATAAAAACTCCTAAAAATGTCTTATAAAATCCTTAAAATCTGGCTGCTGTTAACTCTTTATTCTTATCTCTCATTACTTTCCTAGCCAAACTCTAAATTTCAACTCAACTAAATTTTCAGTTCCTTAAAAAATCCAGGCACTTGCTTTACTGTTTTCACATACTGTGCCAGCTCCCTGGAAGTCTCTTCTTCCCACTGCAGCCCACTCCGCCCCATCGCATCACTTCTCCTCATTCCTCCCCTTTGGTCTAGCTGTATTTCCTCCAGGAAGCCATCCTTGAGTCCTTAGATTCTATTAGTTTCCCCTAGGTGTCTTCTTGTTGTACTTTGCTTTTTCCCCATGTCATAACATCTGTCATACTGCCTTCCCTCTACTCTTGAACACCCAATACTGATTAAGCCAATACAGAAATGAATAACAAAGGAAGCAACACATCACCAATAATCCTGGTTTCATGACATTCTGATTATTTCTGTGCACATTATGGGTATTGTGTATTTAGCTTTACATCTTTTTCAACTGAACAACTTATTCTAGACGTCTTTATAGACAGTATTCTTTTGTTTTAATGTACAATGGATTATTTAATCCTGTTATTATTGGGTATTTAGGTTGTTTCCATTTTCACATTATTTTAGACATTGTTGCAGTGAATATCCTTATCCATCCACCCTTTATAATTAACCATTTATTTCTGAAGAATAAATTGACATAAAAAGTATAAGACTTGCATCAAATTATATCTCCCTCCACAATGTTATTGCCTTTCCCCTCAACCTTGAAAATACCCACTTTATAAATCTTCTTTTCTTTTAACTTTCAACCTGATCAGCCAGATATATTTGTGGTGATTGTCCCTTAAATGACTAGGAAAGTTCAGCATTGTCATGTTACTGGACATTAAAAAAAAATCAACTTTATTTGTCCAATTTTCTAAGTCAAGTCTCCCGGAAGCAGTGTTTCAAATTAGGATTCTTGTGCAAGTGACTTACTGAGAGTCCTCTGCAAGGGAATGAGAAAAAACAGAACAGGGCAGAAGAGGCAAATATGTGGTTTCCGGAGAAATCCACACTCAGCGTAATCCCATGGGGTGCTCAGGAGCATAAATTGTACCACCACCGAGGCCAGTGGGCTGGGCTGTAATGCCCTGCATCAGTCACTGGCCATGGGCCAACCTCAGAGGAGACAAAACTTCCCAGGTGTCTCCAGGTAAAGTGACTCTCATCAGCCCAGGACAATCCTCTGGAAAAGGGTGAAGAGAAGTCATTAGTATCCAACATCTGAAGCACCAGCAAAATAGGTACACCACCCTGGGAATGGGGATCTGTGTGGATGCTAACAGCATGTCATGCCGGGTATTTAAAAAAAAAAAAAAAAATTCTTAAAAGCTAAGCATATTAAACATTCCTGGAATATGCATTGTAAATGTACTTTCCCAGTTGTTGTTATGTAGAGACAAATCAATCAAACTTTGTTTTCTGGCTTTGATGACCATGCTTAGCAGGTCTATTCCAACCCAAGATTATCAATTTTTTAATTAACTTATATTTTCCTCTAGTATTTTACAAGTTTTTAAAAGAATTTAAAACTTTAATCTACCTGGATTCACTATGGGTATGTATTGGGTGTGAGATAGAGATTTGACTTAGTTTTTTCCTAAATAATAGCTGACACTTCAATATTTAAATTAATATAACCAAGTAATAAATAATAAAATAGTTGGTACTTTCTCTTTTTTAGACAGAGTCTGACTCTGTCGCCCAGGCTGGAGTGCGGTGGCGCGATCTAGGCTCACTGCAACCTCCACTTCCCCGGCTTAAGCAATTTTCCTGCCTCAGCCTCCCGAGTACCAGGAATTACAGGTGTGTGCCACCACACCTGGCTAATTTTATATTTTTAATAGAGACGAGGTTTTGTCATGTTGGCCAGGCTGGTTTTGAACTCTTGATCTCAAGTGATCTGCCCTCTTTGGCCTCCCGAAGGGCTGGGATTACAAGGGTAAGCCATGGCACCTGGCCGTAGTTGGTACATTTTATATGATAGGCCCTGTCCAAAGTAAGCCTTCTACAAATATTAACCTATTTAACCTTTGCAATAATGTCACAGGTAGGGAGAACAGATGAAGTGAGGCACAGAGAGGTTACATAATTTGCCCAAGGTCATAGCTAATGAGTACTAGCAAGTTGGGTTTTTAATGCATTTAGTTTTCTTTCCCCTATGCACTTAACTGGTATGCTGTACTGCCTCTCCCAAATAGATAACCAATCATTTCAGTATCACTTACTGAACAATCAATCCATCATTTCTTCTTATATCTTAAGTGTGATCTTGGACTTTCTGCTCTTTTCACTGTTCTGAATTTCTGCACCAATTAGTTCTAATTACAGTACTAGTTTTGTTATACTCTGTAATATTCAGCATTGTAAGTCCCTCCCATTAGATTTTTCTCTGAAATTTCCAGTTCTCATATTTACTCTTTCAGAATACCAAGTCCAAAGACCAAATACATAAACAAGAAAATAAAAAATACTTATAGGCATTTTGATTTTAAATTTTGTTAAATGCATAATTTGGGGGAGAATTTGATTTGCAATTTGTCTCATTCAAGAAAACAATGTCTCTCTCCATGTATTCTTTATTTTCCCTTTATTATTACTTTCATTAAGTTTTCTTTATAGAGGCCCTACACATTTCTTGGTAATTTACATCTTTGTGAATAGTGTCATCTTTTAAAATTATATAACAGGTTACTAATCAAAACTGTTTTTTGCGTATTTATACATAATTGGCCACTCTGCCAAACTTCATCTTGGTTTGGTAGAGGTATTGTCATCTTGCAGCATTAAATCAGTGGTTCATTTTAACAAAAGTAAATATTAGAAGGAAACCTGCCTCTGCTATTCACTGGTGATCAGCCATCATGCCCTACTATTGTGAACAATGGCATAAACGTGTATGAATAGAAAGCAGGCACAACTGCAAACACATACTACACAAATGTGTAGTACATGGACATAAGCGGAAAGGCACCTTATTTCTATTTTTTTCCCATTTACTTCACGAGTTTTCCAAGACAGTCATATCTGCAAATAATTTTACCTCCTTTCTGTAACATGAAAATCTTACTGTATCTGGTAACTGTAGCTGGTATGTCACTAATTCATAAATTCAGGTGGGACATCGCAAAAAATTGAACATACATCCTGTTAAGCATTTTGAGTTTAAAACAGATGAATGTATACTTGGGTACCAATTTTAAAGAAGGGTCAAAGCCTGTTCTTGGGAGTATGGATACATTGACGAGAGATCCAAAGTTATCCTTTTTGAATTCTAGTCCCTTTAAAGCAGAAAATGAACTTGACATTAGCGAAGCAATCCAATGTTTTTACTGATCACCCCCAAATTTGTTATCTTCCTCACACCTAATTTGACAGTTCTTTGTAATGACTCTTTTCCAAACCTTTCCAAAGTGTTGACTTAGTTTTCCTGGGAATTCTTCATTTGCCCCCAATAGTTCATCAATTTTCATACTTAAAAAATTAATTTACATAAAATGCTAAATACAGCTGGCATAAACAGATTTGTGAATAAACACAGCTGACTAAACTTAAGTGGGGTGAAGACAAAAGCAAACTGCACACAAGGAAGTGGCAGACTTTTGGTGTGTGGGCTCAGCAGCACTGGACTCAGTTTTACAGAAGGAATGGGTAGGTTAATCCATCAAATTGGCCAAGTGGTAGTCAAAAATGCTTTTGGAGCCATCATGTTTAATATACACAAAAAATAGACACGTACGAACATATATATGTATGCATAAAATATTTGTCTACTTTAATTTTGCCATGGGTTTTTATTGTTGTCATTTTAAAAATCAGGAGATTTTAAACTTTATTAAATGTCTTTTTGGCATCTATTAAAAATATTCTGATTTTTCTCTTTGACCTATGAATACGATAAAGGATACTGCATTAAAAAGAACTGGAAGGCCGGGTATGGTGGCTCGTGCCTGTGCCTGTAATCCCAGCACTTTGGGAGGCTGAGGCGAACAGACTGCTTGAATCCAGGAGTTTGAGACCAGCCTGGACATGGCGAAACACCATCTCTACAAAAAAAATACAAAAATTAGCCGGGATGTGGTGGTGCAGGCTTGTGGTCCCACTTACTCGGGAGGCTGAGGTGGGAGGATGGCTTGAGTCCAAGAGGCAAAGGCTGCAGTGAGCTTAGATTGTGCCACTGCAATCCAGCTTGGGCAACAGAATGAGACCCTGTCCCAAAAAAAAAAAAAAACAAAAAAACAAAGAATAAATTTCACTTGGTCATGATGTACTTTGTTTTAATGGTTTTTTAAAATCAATATTTTATTTAAACATTTATATTCATTGGTGAGGTTATAAAGCTTTCTCTTTTTAAAACTGTATTTTATCCAACCCATAGAACAGTTTTCTCTTTTTTTAAAAAAAAATTCTTATTTAGTTATACCTCTGGCTCCACTCCATCGTGTTTTAGAGCCCTTACATTAATATTGCATAAATGTACATATTTGCGTAAAAAGCTACTTCTACTTAATATGATCCCATTATAAAAATAAATTATTTCCAAAATTGGCTGAGTCCGATGCTTTGCTATTTTTAATACAGCTATTAGGAAAATCAATATTAGGTTTTTAGGGGTTTCTAACTAAAAGTAAGGAATCCTATTTCAAAGACCTCCCATAGGTATGAAGCAGTGAAGGAAGAGGCCAGGTGTAATTTCACATGTGTATCCTCTCTCGTTCCACAAATTCTATAGCAATTCTTTTAGAAAAAAATGCTGATTTGATGAATACATGGAAGAAGCTTGAAACAAGATCAACTAAGTCACTTCTTCAATGTAAGTTTGAATATCTTCAAAATAACTACTATTTGAGTATGAACAAGAAACTTTTGAAAGAAGCTCATAAAATATTCAAACATCTGGCTGCATGTGGTGGCTCATGTAATCCCAGCACTTGAGGAGGCCAAAGCAGGAGAATGGCTTCATCCTGGAAGTTTGAGACCAGCCTCGGCAACATAGTGAGACCATGTCTCTACAAGGGAAAAAAAAAACAACAAAAATAGCCAGGCCTGGTAGAGAACACCTGTAGTTCCAACTGCTTGAGAGGCTGAAGTGGGAGGATCGCTTGAGCCCAGGATTGAGGTTGCAGTGAGCTGTGATTATGCCACTGTACTCCAGCCTGAGCAACAAAGCAAGACCCTATCTCAAAAACAAAACAAAACAAAAATACCTGAAACATCCTATTCAAGTATATCTGCTGTTATTTATCACTTACACAAAGGAGAAATAAATAGTCTTTCTCTCTTAAAGTACATCTAAATTCATTAAGCTGGCAGCCTATTAAAAAAATGCTTCACTAGGTTTCATTTGTTGTTTTAATGGATTGGAAGTAAAACTGTTTTTATAGGCTATTGATTTCTAGCTCCAAATGAAAACAGTAAATCACACAAAGGTTTTATTTCTGTTGTGGCTGATGAACTGTAAAAGGGAAGGAGGGAGTGCTGACAGAGACTGGGGCATTCTTTTCAGCTCTCACACTTGGCTTTCTTAGAAGCTGGAAGACAATCTTCATCCCCTTCTGATGGGCGAGGTTTCTTCACTGTAGAAATAATTCCAAAAGCAGTCTTTCTAGTTTCTATAAAACAAACAGGGAAACCATTGTGCTTGAAGTTAAGACATAATTTAAAATGAGGTGGTTTAACATATTACTTTGGCTTACAGCACTAGTAAATGATAAGCCATAATGAACTGCTATGGGTGCTAGTGCCATTTACTGTCATTATCTTTTTTCCCAACATACACAAATATCAGTATATTATTAACATCTAATTCATTCCTGAAGATTACCTCATGGGTAAAACTGCAGGACAGTGTTATCTCCAGTGGTCTGTCCATGGCATCTTATGTAGCCAGAACCCCGTCATAGACATTGGTGTAGCAGATACTTTATATATGATAGACAGACAAATCAAGAGAGCAAACACAGCAATCGAGTGTACAGCTCCCAAGTGGAGCACATGCTTGCCTCATTTTACAGCATGTACCCTATCTCTCTCATTAGAACATCAAGGTACCTCTGAAGAATCAATTGTATTATATTGCCAACACTCAACAATGGCTTGGTTATGCAAAATGTGTTCAATAAATACTAGTTGAGTTAATGAATAAAATCAAACTCATAAATTTATTGATCTCTTTAACTGGTGACAATGAACAAAGAATTAATAGAAATTATTAAATGCTTAGATTAGGTTGGCAGCAGAGTTCAACTTAAATTTAACCAATTTCTCCCAGAAACCTACTAATAGGCTAGGCACTGTGTCCATATACAGAGGGTATTAAGATGCCTAACAGTCGGTGCTTTTCCCCATAATACATGCATGTGAGAAGCACAATAAGAGCAAATATAATAGGAGTGGAGGCATCCACAAGAATTAACTGCTGGATAAAGCAATGAGGTATTATATAAAGGTGACACTACTCTGAATAGGGTAAATGGAATAAGAAAAAGAGAAGTATTCCTTTACAAAGCCATGGAGAGAAAGGTAAGAAGAACCTAGGTAAGACAGTTTAGAGGACAATACATGGCTGATGTGAAGGAGGAATATGAAAAAATTAGGAGAAAACGAGGCCAGAAGGGTAGCTTATGAAAGGCCATAGTGTCATGAAAATAGACTCCAACTCTGTTCTTAGAAAGGGAAAGGGATTATGGAGAAGGAGAGAGATACCCATTAGCTACAAAGGTGGCACAATCAAAACAACTTGACCAGAAATTTAGTTATGAATTATTTCTTATTTCAAGTAATAAAAATAAAGTCAACTATAAAGTGTTAAGCATTATTTTCCCATTTATCAAGATTAACTTAGTAAATCTGCTTTGCCAATTATTTTAAAACACTTTTATTTATAAAAGGGATAAAACTGCTCTCAAGGTCATTAAAATGTCAATATAATGAGAACCTCAAAATAAAAACTGTCAATTATTTCCATTTCACCAAATGAAAAACGTCACACTTAATAGCTATTAATTTATATCACTGATTCTCTACCCATAAAGTTTACTCTAAAAATCACCTGAAATAAAACATTGTGAAAATCAGCACTTTTAAACAAAATGCATTAATTTCTTTAGTGTCTTTTAAAAATAAATGCATTTCTGTAACAGCGAGAAGTTACATTTGGGTATGCTTTAGTTTACAAAATGTTTTCACATATAGTATTTCCTTTAATCATCTTGCCAAGGAAAATCTAAAGGATTATTTACAAGTGAATAATTTTGTTCACAAGGGGCTAAGGCAGGTGTCCCCAACAGGTTCATTTCGGTCCAGGGGCTGACTGACAGCATGAACTTTGTCAATCACAGGTCAAAGACTCTGACCTTGGGCCTCTTTCCTCTATCCTTTCCATACAACCTCCTCAGAATTGCTATTCATTACTTTCTGGATTTCTGGACCCCCAAGGAACCTAATTCTGATTTCCTGTGGCAAGCCTTCCAAGTTGAAAGCCAACTACTATGTGTCCAAAGTCTTCTGCTTGCCAGGTATCCATGCCTGCACCACTGTCATGATTCCTCTCATCATGAGGTTTCCAGACCCTTTAAGGACCGAGTAGACATTTTCCAATAGTGTTTCAGTGCACTGCTGTCCTTCTCAAATGTGGCACTCAGAATGATACAGATGCTGGCTGAGATTTCATAAGTAAGAGTATAATAATGAGGCTTTGCATTTCCTTGCCTCAGAATCCTTTATTTCTAATATTACCTAAGCTGAATTAGCAATCTTAAGAACACATCACACTACCGTCTCATACTGATCCCAATGGCAACGAAAACCAGGGTAACCATATTTTATCATCTATTTAGGACACTCTTCAGGGAATAGAAGTGCTAATAAGGTCACAGAAACAGCAGGCATAAACTAGAACTGTCCTGGGTACACTGGGGTGAATGGTAATGCCACCTGAAGTTCACAAGTCTTCTTTAAGTTTAGCTCCTATAAAAGCCTGATTTTAGACACAGAAAGACAAACATCACATGTTCTCACTCGTTCGTGGGATCTAAAAAACAAAGCAACTGAACTCCTGGAGACAGAAAGTAGAAGGATGGTTGCCAGAGGCTGGGAAGGGTAGTGGGGGGCTGAGGGGGAGGTGAAGATGGTTAATGTGTACAAAAAAAATAGAATGAACAAGACCTAGTATATGACAGCACAATAGGGTGACCATTGTCAATGTAACTTAATTGTATATTTAAAAATAACTAAAAAAGCATAATTGGATTTTTATAACACAAGACAAATGTTTGAGGGGATGGACACCCCATTTTCCATGATGTGATTATTATGCATTGCATGCCTATATCAAAATATCTCAGTACCCCATAAATATATACACATGTACCCACAAAAAGAAATTCTAAAAAAAAAATACATTACATATTATATATTGTATGCTGAACAGTTGAGTTCTTAAAGTCAAATGCAGGACTTCCTATTTTCCTATATATAAAATTATATATGTATTTGTATTTTAGTTACTGTTTCTTGTTTAGTCCATTTTGGAACCCTAACTGTTACTCAAAATCTTGATGATTGTTTATTTAAAATAGATCAAAATAATGACAGAACTACGAAAGTGTGAACCAACTGTTCCCTAATTTCAAGAAAATCATCATAAAAAATCTCAATTAATTTGATCACTCCTAAAGCTTATGTGATGAGTTTTAGGCTACATAACACAAAAATCTGAAACTAAAAATGTTGAAACTAAAAGCAAAAATCATCTAATTTATGGCAAGCCAATACAGTAAGCAGTTCTCTCAAGTGGAAATCAGATCAATAAAGCCCAACACACAAGCCCTCAATAACCTAGCTATTCATATGACAAATAACTTAGTTTATATGTAGCGATCTACTTTGAAGTTTAAAATTCATTTGGGTGATATCAATGAAATTGCTTCTTAACCACTACAACTAGTCCTAAGGATTATAAAGATAATGAAGACAAAACAGTGATCAAAAGCTTAAGTTGTTTTAATAAAATTTCATTTTCATTTTCCAAAGTTTCAGCATACTTTCAATTTTTAACATCTGATGAATAGGAAATTCAGTCAGTGAAAAGGTACGTATACAAAACGTAAGTAAAAAAGGTACAGTCTGGCCAGGCATGGTAGCTCATATCTGTAATCCTACACTTTGGGAGGCTGAGGCAGGAGGATTGCTTGAGCCCAGGAGTTCAAGATCAGCCTGGCTAACATAGTGAGACCCTGTCTCTATTTAAAAACAGAAAACAACAACAACAACAACAAAAACAGTACAGTCTGGACACAACTTGACCATGGTTAGAAAACATGGGAAAAGAAACATTCTGAGTTATAATAAATGTAAAAGTTACAGTCTATGTTTTGTTAGTTGGATTTTTAAAATGTATTTGCTGTTTTTGTTTTCCTAATAAATAGTTTAATGTATATTTTTAATATATCAGTTCTCTAAAACAGATTTTCAACAGGGAAAGTATGGCCCTCTGGTGAGGGAGAAGAAGGGAGATTAGAAGTCTATCAAAATGTGGGCAGGAGCACACATGTATAGCTGGAGGAACTATTCAATACTCTTTCTGTAATGAAAACTATACTCATTCTACAAACTTTAGAAAGTAAAGCCTGAAGTGAGGGTGAGAAAACACTGATGGCTATGGTTAGAACAGGTTGAGAAAAGATGACCCCAAAGGAACTCAGGAGGATAGGGCAATAAAAATAGGTATGGCTGTAAAAATGACTTGCTTCTAACATGACCATTCAGTTTGTACTGGAAGAACTTGCTTACCTCCGTGGAGAAGTGCTGCTCGGCAGTTGGTGGATACCGCAGCCTTGGCATCACTTTCAGAGAGCCCAAACAGCAAGCCTCTTGGGGGAGCATTAAAGATTTCAACCCGGAGTCAGCCAAGGACACGAGACTAACACAAACATAACAGAAAGTGCCAGCTAACCTGGTCGTGTTGAGAGGTTAATTAATTCAACAGCAGTTCTTAGTCCAACTGGAACATGCATCTGAGAAAAGACTCATTTAACTCTAAGCTTTTATCATATGAAGTCCCCCGTTTCCTCTTTTCTATCTCAGGATTAATTAAAAAACAGAAACATAAAGATCTCTATAAGGTTATACAATTTATTTTTGAAGTTATTAATTGGTAAACTTACAGTAAAAGGTTGAGAAAAATACCACATTCAACTATAATACAGCTTTGAATTCAAAATTTCCTGAAGACAATGTCAACAACTTTTACTCAGAAAAGGATACAGGTTTGCCACGTCATATGGCCCTCTTATTTCTAAAGGCTGAAATAAAATGAACAAAGAGTAGATATGAGAAAATTATTTATAACATTTCAATAACTTATAGCAAATTAATAGAATATTTAAGTATCCAAAAATGAAAAATTACATAAATTTAAGTCCTTATAATTTTGATGGGTTTTATAGTTTTTGAAAATATAAGAGAAGCTTGAAAAGCATTCTGTAAAAGTATAAAAGAAAAACTAATTATATAAACAAAAGTTGAAGCCTAAAGAAAATGGGGATAAATTTTACTGTTTAGCAATTAAAATGAGCAAATGCAGTTAAAATAGAAAAAAATGTAACAAATATTCATTTACTATTTTAATTTATCTCCTAGAAACTGCAAAGTTTTATAACCTGAAAGATGAAAATAAAGTACTTCATGCTAGACTTACCCTTTCTGCAGCACTAGATATAATTACATTCTACAAAATAGAAAGTGATTAACATTAATCTTAGATAAATGCAAAAAAAAAAAAAGGAGAGTTTCATAATATAAATAGCCAGTAATCACATTTTAACATTTAAGGCTCAAATACCATCTTCTTTTAAAGATAAGGTAAATGATTAAGGCGAAAAAAATGAAAGATTTCATTTCAAACTAAAGGCAATCTGTAATAAAAAACAAAATATGTTTTCCTAACAGGTCTTAGTACAGATGAATTAAGTTTAAAAAACAAGATGAAAAGGTCACATAATCTTAATTCAACTCAGTGAGGACAATTGTTATTCTAGACTTTTCTTTCACAGTATGTAAACTGCAAATTTTTATCAAAAGATATGGCTTCCAACACATCTTTTTCTCCCTTATATTATTCTTCCCTTGGTATTTTTCTTTCCTTTAAAACTAGCAGAGCTCACTGAAATGGGAGAATTTGTTCCTATGCTTTGAGAACATTCTGCATTAAGGAAAAGGAGTCAGTTTGACAATTCCAGTGTACCACTAATAATAAACTGCCAGATGCGAAAAACATCCTAAAATTATAGAACCATACCTTTCCTTTGCAGATTTGCATCAAATTGAGAGCATTGGAAATTGTATACCTTCTCATTGTGGAGTCTTTGATAGCAGGGCTATAGACAAGTTCAAAAGCCAGGCCTCGGTCAATTGCCTTCACAGGAAATAAAGAAAACTGTCAGAGATAAACATGCACTGGCCTACTTCATTTTCACAGATTCTCTCTTCACCTCCTTGCTCACTCCCTACCACTCACCCCTTACATGTCAAGGTACAGCTTTATGAAAGACAGATTAACACTCAAATGGCACCACCCACAAGGAGAAGAAAATAAATCTGTGGCTCTACTTGATCAAAAGAGTTTATCTTGGCTGTGGGGAAGCTGACTTTACATAAACAGGAATTATGAAGAGGCTAAGAACAACAAAGTCCCAATGGGGTGAGAGAGGGGCTATTACTCTATGCACTATCAAAAGGAAAACAGAAATGTACTCCCTATATTTAGAGTAAACTGTATGCAAACATAGTAAACCAAGTAATCTGACCTACGAATGCACAAAGAGACAAAGAAATGAAGAGCTGAAAAAAGCCCAAAGAACCAAGGGTGGGTAGGTCTTTCAGGTAAGTAATTTATTACCTATATGTTGAAGAGAGAATAACAGCCATAGTTAATTGAGTGCTGACTATATGCTAAGAGAGTCTTATATGTAACATTTAATCCTTACCATAATATCTTTATAAAGCATTACTGCAAAGACTGTTAATTGCCCGGATATCTGTCCTCTCCTTTTTCTTTAGTAATAAAGGCCCTGGTTTTTCACTGGGCTTATAGCTGCACAACAAAAAAGATGGAAGTGCCCGTGAAGATTTTGCCCAGCTCACCATACAAGCCTGGCTTTTTTCATGAGAAAAAGAAACTTCTTTATTTAATGTACTCTTACTACACAGGGATCCACAGGTAAGTAGATGAGTGGAAATGAGATTGAAATTAACCACCATACTATTCAGCTTTCCTAATGAGCACCTAAATGTCTTCATCCATTCACAGAAGATATGTTTTAAGCCCACTACGTGCAAAAGCTGAGATGGTTCCTCCCTTCTAAAAGTTCACATTTTAGTGGGGGAGACAGACGATCAATAACCACACAAAAATATAAAACTTCAACCGTGTTAAGTGCTATCAAGGAGAAGATTGGATGGGGGTAAGGAAGAAATTAAGTAGTTAAATAGCAGAAGAAGGTGCATTTTCATAGGGAGGTCAGACTTTTGCATTGGCAAAGTCTCCAAGGTTGCAGCATGGCAGTATGTAGGGAAGGTCAAATGCTGGAGAAAAATAATGAGGAAGACAGGCTAAAGAGGACGGGAAGGGCCAACTGTGCAGGCCTTTAGAGCTGATGACGAGGATTATTCCTAATGAAGAAAACATCTGAAGAATTTTCAGCATAGAGAGGATAATCAGATTCTCACCCTTTCAGTGTTTAAGATAGGTAATTTGTCCACATGACTCACAAAGCAACATAAGAAAACAATAAAAAGTACTGTTTGCATCTCTGATCCTATCTGCCCTATCCCCTCCTCCAATATCACTTTTATTAATTTCTTGTGTCTTCTTCCAGAGTTTCTTCATACAACTATAAGCAAATATGAATAGACACTATTTTTCTTTCTTATCCAATTGCAAAAGTCACTTGGGTGGCAGTACTCTTTCCAATGAATAAAGAATGGTAGGCATGTTCTAGGCAGTATGATCCAAGTCTCTGCTTGGCAAATGAGTTTCGATTGCCCAGAGTACGAGTTGAGACTGGCCCAGCTGTGACTCCTAGGGTTTACTCCTGAGCATTTACAGGGAATGGAGAAACTTGTCTTTTTCTAGAACTGGCAGTCTCTCTTGATTTAATTCACTTGCACTTCAAGGCCCCTTCTACTTTTCCTTCCTGAATACAGATTTCCTTAATTCTTCCTCTGGCTTCAAGGCTCCCAGATTTTATTTTAGATTTTCCTGTCTGTCTGATTCTAGTTTGGTTAGAATTTAAATGCTATTTTCCACACTGCAACCTTCCCCTCTCTCATTTTTTGACTTTTCCCCATCTCTAATTCTTTACCTGTGTTGATTATTTCTAGGAATGACATTTGTTAAGATAATATTTCTGTCATAGTTGAACGTGTATCTCATTTTCTCTGCCAAGCTTGTACACTTCTTGAGAGCTAGACTGCCTTTTACATAAAAAGTGTGTATTTACATTTTGAGTGAAGATGTGTATAAGAGACAGCATTTTGAGTGAATAACTAGTAGCTTATGGAGAAGATGTCCTGTGATAACGCTGTTCATTATAGACGATCCATCATCAAAGGAACCTCGATGCACCTGGCTAACCAAAAGCCACAGATAAACAGAAACATCCCTTTTAGCCATATTATCAGCCATCTCCTTGGCTATATATTTTACCAAAACTATTAATTAGCTGAAGAGGCTGACCTGTATTTCTTTTCCTTATCCTTCTAGTTGTGGAACTATAATACAAGGCAATAGGATGATGAAGAGGGGAAACAGATGAAAGAGATGAATGATACATAGAGTCGGATGGCTAGATCTCAAAATATTCCTAATTGACTGAATCTAAATTTCTAGACCCTTGTGGGGACCAAATCAAAATAAAAACAACTTTTGTAGGGGGAAGGGGAGAAAAAAAAGGATATTATCAGCATAATTATTTTTTAAGAAAAAAGTTCTGATTTTCATCTTGGTACATGAATCAAGTTTACTTTAAAACTGCTATAGGAATTCTTGAAAAAGAAAAATTAAAAATAATGCGCTATTGAAGGTTGTGAATATTTCTTTCACAATATCTCATTTTAAATTTTTAGATGGATAAAATACAGACTCATTACCTGGGATCTTGCTGTAAGACCATTTTAATGCAAATTGACTAAAGCTCATCAAATGATTGTTCATAACAGCCTCCTCTTAACAGTGCCTGCCTGATTAGCTTTTGTTCTCATGTCTGACCAAAGGTTCTGGCATGGATGGGTGATCAGATTTTTTTACTAATGAGAAATAATGGTTATAAAGATGCTACTAAGGACAGGTGTGTGACAGTTGAATCAAGACACACTGGCACTAAAATTCCAAGTATTAAGAAAAGCCTTAGAGAAAGACAGAAGAAAATAAGGAGCTGATTACTGAGACAATATACTGATTCCCTGTTAATGTCATAAAAATTAGTTCTTTATTCATTCAAATGAATGACACCCTTTCAGTGTTTAAGATAGGTAATCTGTCCACATGACTCACAAAGCAACATAAGAAAACAATAAAAAGTACTACTTGCATCTCCGATCCTATCTGCCCTATCCCTTCCTCCAATAATCACTTTTATTAATTTCTTGTGTCTTCTTCCAGAGTTTCTTCATACAACTATAAGCAAATATGGATACTATTTTTCTTTCTTATACAAAAGGTAGTCTGCTACATTCTTGTCCTGACATGAAAGCTTTTCCAAGTCAGCTCATAACTTTCTCTGTTTTACAGTTGCACAGTATTATATTGTAGAGGTATATCATGTATTTAATCAAATCTCTACTGATAGCCTTTGGGTGGTTTCAGTGTATCTGTAGAATAACACTAAAGTGGGATTGCTAGTCATAATGGGTTGAATCATGTCCTCATCCACAAAAGATATGTTGAAGCCCTAAACCTCAGTACCTCAGAATGTAATCTTATATTTGGAAATAGGGTCACTGTAGATGTAATGAGTTAAGATGAAGTCAGAATGGAATAGGGTAGGCCCCTAACCCAATATGACTGGTGTTCTTGTAAGATGATGGCCATGTGAAGACACAGAGACAAACAGGGAGAACACACTGAAGACAAAGGCAGAGATTGGAGTTATGTAGCTGCAAGCCCAGGATTACCAAAGATTGCCAGAAAATCACCAAAAGCTAAAAAGAGGCAAAGAAGGCGGTCCTACAGATTTCAGAGGGAACAAGTCCATGCTGACACCTTGATTTCAGACTTCCAGGCTTCAGAACTGTGAGATCATACAGTTTAAAACTGTTGTTTAAATCAGCAAATGTATTTGTAATTTGAAGAGTTGTTGCCAAATTACACACCCTCCACGTAGGGATTGTTCCAATTTACACTGTTACAAGCAAAGTATGAGAATGACTGCTTTCCTGCAGCCTTACAACAGAGTGTATCTCTAATCACACAGGTGATTTTAATGTGAAATCTCTTACTATGATAAATTTAATCATCTTTTCATATGTCTAAGGCCTGTTTGCATTTCCTTTACTGTGAAATGCCTTTTTCATATTCTTAATCCATTTTTTTGTATTGTTCATCTTTTTTTTTAACTTATTAATTTCTAAGCACTCTTTGGTCTTTCTGTGTTAAGGAAGTAAGCTTTTTGTCTATGACATGAGTGAAAATTTTTCGTCAGTTTGTCATCTGTCTTTTAACTTTGTTTCTGGAGTTGTTTGCTGTTGTTGTTGTTGTTTTTGCCACAGAAATTTTTAACACTGGCACTGAATGGACACAGTACTTAACACATTAGATTCATGTGTGATAAAACAAAGTTTACAGAACACTCACATCCAAATCAAGTATTTATAGCACGATTCATGGAACTACTTCACTGCTTTAGATATTACTTACTAAACATCTCTCAGTGGGGAATAATTGGACCACAAAGACAGAAATGGATTAGGGTTAAAGGAAGGGCTGAGGGGAAAACATCAGAGTGTAAAACATATAAGATCCCTTAAAATAACTCAATAAGCTTGAAGTCACTGTTAAATGACAATAACATTGAAATGGAAATAACATTGTAAAAAAATCAAAGGGAAAGTAAAGAGATACGTGCGGCTTTAAGAACATCCTCCTTCTCACAACCTGAATTCATAAAGCTCATGTTTTAAAATATGAAATTACTCTGCTTAACAAAGAGTACTGCTGTAAAGTAACTTTAAATAGCATTTCCCAGTAGGAAATGACAGATTTGGAATCAAAGCTTGAGTACAAATCCCTAGTCAACTCCTTGAGAGAGTCATTTAACTGTGTGAACCATGAACTACCTGAGAAAGACTGTATTACCTGCATATGGAGATAATTAATATCTACCCCATCCCAAAGCTGCTGGGCCACAGCAGGTATCAAACTGCTCGTCATAAAATGCTAAATAATCTGAAGTCATGTGATTATCCAAGAAGAGGAGTGGAATCCAATTTTTTAGAAACACATCTATCACATGATAGAGTTGCAATGACAAGTTACTTAGACTCCAGAAGAGGTTTGTGGGAGATTTTAGAGGAAATTGCATAATTGAAATCATGGTGCCCTAAGCATGCAGTGAAGATGACAAAAGGGAGAAGAGCTGCAAAGTACACAAATGGAGTGTCTGGTATGCTCTAGAGCTCCTGGGCCCTCCTTCACAATCCCAACCTTCCAAGCTGAAGATCCTCACATGGCGTCTGGCCTATTGGTAAAATATGAACGACTTACCTTTCTTAATACTGCTTTTCACCACAACCAAAGAAAAGGGCCCAAATTGTAACAAAATTAAGATCTGTGCTTAATTTAAAGTAACCCTGGCCAAGGCAGGTGGATCACTTGAGGTCAGAAGTTCAGAACCAGCCTGGCCAATATGATGAAACCCCATCTTTACTAAAAATACAAAAAAATTAGTCAGGTATGGTGGCAGACGTCTGCAATCCCAGATACTTGGGAGGCTGAGACAGGAGAATCGCTTGAACTGAGGAGGTGGAGGCTGTAGTGAGCCGAGATCACACTACTGCACTCCATCCTGGGTGACAGAGCAAGACTCCGTCACCAAAAAAAAAAAAAAACAAAAAAAGTAATCCTTATAAAGTGATCCTTTTAAAGCCAATCTATGAACTTCTCAAGGCCAAAAACAGGTTTATCCTCAAAGCCAAGGGAACATGCAAGGACCAAGACTGAAGACTGAACTATTATCCACACCTACTTACCACATGTTCTGTGCTCTCACAATGTATACATTTCCACCCTTTGTGTAGACAAATAGCTCCACAGCCAGACTGGATATTATGTTATAAATAATACACACATACCTATACCACAACTATTATCCAACAAGCTGGACCCTGTATGTTTCCAACTTTCTCTCTTTAATAAAAAATAGGTGAATAAATTAACAGGGACACTTCTGCTTCTTGACCAATTCACAGTGCAGCCTACTCCTCTACTAGATGAAGACTAAAAATAATCTTGTGCAGCCTTTCTTTCCACTCCATCATCTAGTTTTTATTAAACAACATATGTAAAATGTTCACACCAGATTTTTTTTAAAGCAGACACTGTGTTAAACTGCGTATCCCTCTAACTTGACAAAATTTTTTACTTTTCAGAATTCTTAAATTGAAAAATGTAGGAATTAAGCCAAAAATGCCCATCAAACAAAAGTAGCTTTCCTGAACTTTCCAATGGAATCGGGGGTGGGGTGTCCTGGTGTCACTGTCTTGAATGCCACTGTCCTCCTCATGTTGCCCTGCTGCCCCATTTCCCTCACTGCATATACTTCCTGCTGAATCCGGACATCCAGCTAGCGACCAACAATGAGAATTTGGCCACATCCCCTATGCTGTATCCTGAGATGCTAAGCTCAACACGTACTTATTCACTCAACAAACTATAAGGAGGACTCATTATGGGCAAGACAGTGGAGTACTTAAAAAAGGACCATGACACAGCCAGTGCTCTCTAGAAGCTCACACTCTGGTTTAAACAATAATACAAGTTCCTAAGAACCCCAATTAAAAGCTCTCACCGACGTAGCCACTGGGAATCTTACCATTGTCGTGAGACATGAGGAATTATGTGCTGTGCACTGCTGTCCAATCCATGGACTTGGCTTAGCATCACATGCTAGCTCCTCCCAACCAAGGTCACAGTATCGTATGTGGGCTTATTCAGGCAAAGCCGTCTAGAAAATGACCTTCCTAGTTCATTAAGGTGAAGACAAAGGTGAAAAAGTTGTAAGTTCACTAGCAATTTGCTGAGTGGCTATATTGCCCAACTCTGGGGGTGCTACTTCCATAGAAACTGTATTGGCAGTTTGAGGCTGGTAAAAAGGTTAGGCAAACTTCTAAAGGCAGAGATTGCTACCTCTGGAGAGAAACAATATGTGAGGCCAACAAGATTGTCATAACCTTGAGTACTGTATTAATTTGTGACTTTTATCATAGGTACCTGAGGCACATCAGAGATCTTGACAGACAACCAATCACAACTTTCCTAATCCTGTGTGACTAAAGAGCTGAATGACTTCTTGCAGTTTTTCATTTCCCCACATTTGACAAACAAGCTGCTGCACAACATAGATTTCCAAGTCGAAAATGTGGTGATTCAGGGGTTTTTCACTGTTTACTTATTTATAAGTACTGGCAACAACACAAGGAACCAATGATTTGAGCTTAGCCTATATTGTTATGTTCACTAGTACTGTCAATATTTACCCTAGGCCAGGCATGGTGGCTCATGCCTGTAATACCAGCATTTGGGGAGGCTGAGGCGGGCAGATCACAAGGTTAGGAATTTGAGACCAGCCTGGCCAACATGGTGAAACCCCATCTCTACTAAAAATAAAAAAATACAAAAATTAGCCGGACATGGTGGCATGCACCTGTAATCCCAGCTACTTGGGAGGCTGGGGCAGGAGAATTGCTTGAACCCGGGAGGCGGAGGTTGCAGTGAGCCAAGATTGTGTCACTGTACTCTAGCCCGGGTGACAGAGCAAGACCCTGTATCAAAAAAAAATTTACCCAACAAGAGCTTTCATGTTTGTCCCTTGAAATATATGATTACGTATTTTTAGTTTGAGTAGCATATTTTTAGGGGTAGAACATAAGCTAACTTAAATTTTTCCACATTGGGTGGGTAAGGCGTGGTGGCTCACGCCTGTAAGCTCAGCACTTTGGGAGGCTGAGGTGGGAGGGTCGCTTGAGCCCAGGAGTTCAAGACCAGCCTGGGAAACACGGTGAGACCCCAACTTTACAAAACATAAAAAAGTTAGCCAGGTGTGGTGGCATGCACCTGTAGTCCCAATTACTCAGGAGGCTGAGGTAGGAGGATCACTTGACCCCAGGAGGTTGAGGCTGCAGTGAGCTATGATCATGCCACTGCACTCTAGCCTGGGCAACAGAGTAAGACCCTGTCTCTAATAATAATAAAAATAATAATTTATTATAATAAATTATATATAAAATTTATACATATAAATTATATATATAAATAATAAATTATTATTTTTGCCACATTGAATTTTCCCATACCAATTTTCCATTTTCTCTTCCTATTGTCTCCCCCGATTCTCAAGCCAATGCCTTAGCACCAAAGAGAATTAAAATTGAGAAAGTTACGATTCTACAGAGGCAAAAGAGCAGGGGAATTATCCTGCTTTGAAAAACTTCTTACAAAAATTAATCTTCTGACTCTGATAGGATTGGATACGTAATTTGGACTGTATTTGCTAAACTCTTTTTTTCTCCCTGGATACCAGTTTTTGAGAACAGGAGACTAAGTAGGGTTTTGGAAGCCACTATTCTAAAATAGCATCTCAACTCTTCCTAGGATCTGATTGGCAAAGCAAATAGTTAACAGCTGTGCTGACCTTATGCTACTAAAATAGTTACTGGTGTGAAATAATAGTACCTTATGATGGAAATGGGAGGAAATTAAGACTTAGAAGAAGGCATGGCAGATGGAAGATGAAGGGTATGGGAAAACAAGAGAAAACTATGTAGAAGAGGAATGAGAAAAATTCTATAGCAGAGGGAGAAACAAAAAAGTTCTCTGAACACATGGCCATCCTATTAGGTTAATATGACTCTAGGCTCTTTGTGAATAAGCATGCTTCAACACACATTTTAATTTTGCATAGACCACGTCTATGTGATGCCATGCTCTGTTCCCTCTTCACTCTCTTTAGCTTGCTGGTGCCTCAAGGATCCTCTGCTTTTTACTTTTTCCCTTCCCCTTCTTTTTTGACTGCTCTGTTCCCTTAATACTCAATGTTCAAGTTATAAGTACCCATGATTATTAGCTACCCTCTCAAGAAATATCCTTCATAAATTTTGGGTTCTACAGCCTTTTAAAAACATCTTAATAATTAACTGGATATTTTTAATTTTAAACTTTCTTTCTCCCTTTGTTCAGCTTTCAAAACTAAAATTCTCTTTTCTAAAACTGCCTCCTATTCCCTAGCCTTTGTTTTTCCTTCTAAGAATACTGGTTTCTTGTGTTTCCAATTTGCTAATGTAAGTTTCTAAGATTCAAATACAGAATGGAAAGTATAACACTTACCACATTAATAGGAGGTCTTTTGAAGTAAAATGGTAGTTTCTCTGTTACAGTTATGCAGACTAAATCCACATCTAAATGTGTACAAGCAATCTGTAAAGAAGAAAAAAATAGGTAAGGCCAAAAGGAAAACTGGCACAAGTAAGAACGGGAGATAGGGTCAAACTCGATATAATGAAATATAAGTATGGTTCACTCCATAGGTGTTTTGATGGTTCTGTGTTGAAATACATTTGACCTTTTACAAAGTCAACTGTTTTGCTACTCTTTTAGGTTGGGTTTAAATGGTTTAACTGTAATCCAGCAAAAGCGGATTATGTCCATAGACTTTCTCAAAAGATGGAGCCTAGAGACTCTCTAACTCATATGGTCTGCTACGTAAGGATGGTTTGTGGAGTGAGGCTCAGTTTCTGGAAGATTACTTCAGACTGTTCCAGAAAGAAGAAACTGACTATTCTAAATCCAAGGAAAAAATAAGCCAAATGGAATGTATGCATGGTCCATTTATCCCACAAACTATTTATTGAACAACTCTGTGCCAAGAATTGTCCCAGAGCTGTGGCTCCTATCAAGTCTAATGAGCAGCTGAAGAAGTATGAACACAGCACCTCATGACATTTGTTCAAAAACTAATAGAAGGAATCTACATAAATAGTTAAAGCAGAGCTATTACAAGTCAAATGATAATGAATGCATTTTCTCAACTTTTAATTTCCCTTTCCGTTGTTTTAATTTTTGCTATGACTTGTTGAGTAATACTCTGCATTTTCTTCTCAAAGAGATTGGAAACTGCTTATAAAAACCACATACAAGATAAAATAAACAGATAAGAAAATCAGGATAAATGGAAAATCAGGGAAGAAAAATAAAGCTGGGAAAAGGTTACTAGCGTAGAGGGCAAGCCAGAAGACACTGCTAGAAGAAATACACCTGGCTCTGATTCTGCCATTATTTGATTTATAGTGATAAAATATTTGGCTGTTATACATTACATTAAAAATAAAGCTTACTGACAATGCTAGTGTGTACAGGCTTGACAGACAAATTCAAACTTCCAGGATGGCTATGCTGACAAAACAACATCAGTGGCACGTACCAGGGGAAAGGGCAGAGTAAGGAAGAGCAGAGAAGAGGGAGCAATAATGACCTGTAGGATTGGTGTCAACCTTCAGCAATGACAGGAATACCGTACCTTGCCCTTTTTCTTCAGAATCCCCACTTCAGTCACTCCTACTCCAACCCCAGGGCTTTAGGAAGCAAGCAGAGATCAGAGGCTGACTAGCTTTAAAACAGTCATAGTAACTTAGCAAGCCTGGGAAGCAATATTGTTTTGGTAGAAATAATTGGCTCATAAAGAATCTGCCCCATCCCAACTGCCACAGCTGTCCAACTCATAAAAGTCATTGAAAATTTAATAAGAGTGGATGAAGGAAAGCTCTGAATGATAGCTGAAACAAATTCAGTTCTGTTCACCATTTTTTATCTATCATACTGGCAAAGATAAAAAAGTTTAGTACTACCCTTGCTGACATGAGAATGAATAAACAGGCACTCACAAGGTCTTTAAATCAGTATAAGGTCTTGAAAAACATTTTAGCAATGGCTACCAAAATTTTAAATGCGCACACCAGCAATTCTACTTATAGGTATATAGTAGGTATAAGTGAAGTCTCCTATAGAGAAGTCTCTATAAGTGTAGAGACTAGAAATATATTATGTAGCTATATACCCTACAAAGGCTCAGGGGACATTAGTACAATGACAGTCATTGCAATACCAATCATGAAAGACTAGACACAATTAAATATCCCTCAATTTTACTTAAATAAATTATGATCCCTTTATATGACAGAATATGCCAACTCGTTAAAGGAAATGATGTACATCTCTAATGGATATTATGGAACAACCTCTAAGAAACTGTAAGGTAAAAGAAGCATGGTGTTAGGTAGGAAGGAAAGAGGAAAGGAGAAAGGGGGAGAACAAAGGAAAAAAAGATGAGGTAAATAATATTTCTAAAAAGATACACAAAAACTATTACGAGTGGTTGCTTCTGGAAAAAATGGGGAGGGAGTTTTAGGTGGAAGTAAGGCGTACTTTTCAGTACCTTTGTAATGTTTAAATTAGTCATCATGAATATAAATTATTTCTTCAGTTTAAAAAGCTGATTAATTCTTTAAAAGCCTGTTAAACACTCTCCCCAGAATGAAGCTAAATTAGGTTTAGCTTCATACATACTTTTTTCATACATATTGTTCCTTTCTTCCCTTCTCCTATATAAGAGTGGCCAATTAAACAATGGCTCTATGTTGGTTTAAGTATGTGCAAATACATGAACTAACATAAACTTTTAATTACAAGGGACAGCTCTACATGGCTCCCTCTGACACTTCAACCTTAGAATGCCCCAAACTGAATTATTTTGTTATTTAGTTTTCTATTAACCAAAATGTCTAATTGATACTTTTAGATAACCACAAAATAAGAGTTAATGTTCACACTACAATGAAATGCTTTCTATATCATTTTAAAAGATTACATTATGCCCAATAGAGCCTTGGGGTTAAGAATCTTATCATGGTTTTCTCTGAAAACTGGTAGGTTACATATGAATTTACATCAGTTGTCCAAACCATTTTTTTTTTTTGGCCAGTGACTCCCATGACAATTTAAAGAAAACGTATTCCCATAAACATGCACACGTATATACACATCTTTGCCTCTATGACACAAAAGGAATAGGACTGCAGGGGTTCATATTCCTCCCTGAATCCCTTTCAAAGATACCAGGTTGATAAATTGTGAAGAGACAATCAGGCTTACCAAGGAAAAAGAGAGATGCCCATTAACAGTGGTGCTCAACTTTAGTGTGTATAAAACTTCCCTAAAGAATGTATAAAGAAGGAGACAACCATGCCCTACCTCCACTGATTCATTAAGTATGGCCTAATGATCTGCATTTTAATACATATCCCAGGTAATTCTAAAGCCAGTGGAGCCAGACCATACTCCAAGAAACACCAGGACACTCCCTTCCTCAAGATACTCTACAACAGTGCTCTGCAAAGGAAAGGCATGAATTTCAGGAGCAGGAAGAAAATAAAACTTTTATTTCCATTTACTTTTATTTTTTAAAAATAGAGACAGGGTCTCACTATGTTGCCCAGGCTGGTCTCGAACTCCTGGTCTAAGTGGTCATCCTGCCTCAGCCTCCCAAAGTGCTGGGATTACAGGCACAAGGCACTGGATCCAGCCTCCATTTACTTTTTTTTTTTTTTTTGAGACAGAGTCTCGCTCTGTCGCCCAGGTTGGAGTGCAGTGGCGCAGTCTCGGCTCACTGCAAGCTTCGCCTCCCGGGTTCACATCGTTCTCCTGTCTCAGCCTCCTGAGTAGCTGGGACTACAGGCGCCCGCCACCATGCCTGGCTAATTTTTTGTATTTTTAGTGGAGACGGGGTTTCACCGTGTTAGCCAGGATGGCCTCAATCTCCCGACCTGATGATCTGCCTGCCTCGGCCTCCCAAAGTGGTGGGATTACAGGTGCGAGCCACCACGCCTGGCCCATTTACTAAATTTTTAATTCACTATTTTAAGATTTGTTTTATGTTTATGTAGTTTTTGTAAGGCACACCAGTACAATGAGAGATGCAAATAATTTATAAAAAACATATATATATTTGGAAGCAGGCTCAAAAAATTTTTAAACTGATAGGGTGCACAATCAAAGCAGGTTAGAGACCACTGGACTAAATAACCTGAATTCTCCTCAACCTGCTCAGCTGCTTTAAATCCTAAATGGGAATAATAGGTCCAGATGCTCCTGAAGCTTCTATGTAACTCTCTGTGTCATATTCCACAACTGTCCCACATTCCAAGGAGCCCTAACCAATGGACACCCTCAAAATCTTTAACCTCTGCCTTATCTCCTTAAGTAGTTATGGGGAGGGAGTTTCTGTGAGAAATCTTCCAGATACTCTGAGTAGAAAATATAATGCTATGTTATGTCCTATGGAAATGATGCTATTTAATGTGATTAGATTTTATACTATTGACATAAATGTGTGTCTGTGTGTGTGTATGCTTGATGACTCATCTTGGAGACCTAACTTAGTTTTAGAATACCATACCTATAGAGATAGATAGCTGTTAGAATTCTAGATAATCAACTTACAAACAAAACAAATAAAATGACTTATAGAATGTAACTTAAGAAACAAACTGCTGGCATTTGACCTGATTCCAAACCACAATATACTTACAAAAGCTTTAAAAGAGATGTCTGCTAAAATTGATTTCCTATAGAAAACAGGGAGAACTCTAATTTCAATTTAATCTTAAGGAATGGGTAATATTCGGATAGGGAAGAGGACGATGTTCCAATTTTTAAAACTGCATTGTCATATAACTTTTTGAGTATATGTGTAAAGTCAATACTTTGTGCTTTCTTCCATCTTCCAAAGTATTTTTGACAGGCCCATCTACTATCATCAAGCATGTGTTCAGCAAATTCAAACTTTAAGTCTGAGAAAAACAGTAAGATAAACAAATAAAACTATTATATGAAATTACAATATGGTCTAAAACCCAAAGTCCTATCTTTAGAACATACTTGCTGGGAGATTTAGAGCAAATCACTCAGTCTGAGTCTCAGTTTTCTCCTCTATAAAATGGCGATAGTAATAAATATCTGTCCCAATTATCCTACAGGACTGTTGTAGAAGTTAAAGGAAATAAATATGTAAAAGCTTTTGAAAGGTTTTTACAAATGTGTACCTTCTTTTGCTTCTCTAATCATCAGTAAAGGGATATGGAAATGTAAGTTGCACGATCTTCAAAATTAATCCAGAAATCAAATGGACAACAAAATGCTTGGTACATCAGCAACTTTTATTCCAAATCACAACTGAGTTGCCATTATTTAATAACAAAACTAAGTTGCTGCTGGTTGTTTAACAAATTTGGAAATGACCATGGTCTGCCTTATATTAAACACTAGTGGTTTCAGCACTGAATTATACTTTCTTACAGAACATGAAAAAACAAATACCCAGAATCAACCTCAAATCTATTGGACCAGAGTCTCCAGTGGTGAAGACTAATGTGCCTGATTTTAAAAAGTTCTACAGGTGTATTTTATGACTAAAAACCACTTGCTTCTACTTACCCCTTTAACTAAAACAAAATTCTTGAGAACATCTATAATTGCATTAAAAAAATTTTTTTTGAGACAGAGTCTTACTCTGTTGCCCAGGCTGGAGTGCAGCAGCGCAGTCTCAGCTCAGTGCAACCTCTGCCTCCTGGGTTCAAGCAATTCTTGTTCTTCAGTCTCCCAAGTAACTGGGATTACAAGCACGTGCCACCATGCCTGGATAATTTTTGTATTTTTAGTAGAGACGGGGTTTCACCATATTGGCCAGGCTGGTCTTGAACTCCTGACCTCAAGTGATCCACCCACCTTGGCCTCCTAAAGTGCTAGGATCACAGGCATGAGCCACTGTGCCCGGGCTACAGTTGCATTTTTTAAAGGAAGTAACAACAACAACAAAAAAAAGAGTAGGCACTCACAAATAATTTGTGCTGTTTCCCTCTGTTAATATAAATAATTAAGAACTGATAGTATGTCTTGAAAACTATTAATGTTTACCACACACATTAGCATCCTTAGTTAATAGCTCCATCTACTGGATACATCTAGCAAAAACATCTTTCTGCAATTTTAGAACGAATTTTGCTTAAAAAAAAACCAAACCTGAAGTAACATTAAAATCTCAAAGACCAGGCTGGTCTGAAGGTAGTCAGTTATCTTAATTGACTGTTCACAGTCAGTTATCTTGACTATTCACAGTCAGTTACAAATTGAATTCCCTGTTCTACTCTTTCCCCTCTTCTTAATAGGGCACTTGATTAGTCTTTAAAAAAAAAAATCAAAGAGTAGTACCTTTGGTGGTTATATTTTCGGCAATGGACACTTTAGTGAACCTAGAAAAAGGCAACTTTCAGAAGTTTCTAAAAGTAGCTATACCTCATTTTATACTTTTGGCAGATGGACACTTTTGTGAACCCAGATAAAGGCAACTTTCGAACTTTCTAAAAGTAGCTATACCTCATTTTACACAGTAAAATGCATTACAGTTGATGTTTTTTCCCTACTGTAATCATTTAAAATGCCCAGGGTGTTCTGTCTCAAGGTGACAAACAAGCATACATGGTAAGCTCCTTTCCCTTCTACAAAGGCAATGAAATGGCAATTTTAAAAGTACAAAAGAAATTCAATTCATAAAGGCTCTCAAGATGAGAAGAGGGATTATACTAGCAAATGGCTGATTTTGAAGAATTTCTGAAAGACTAAAAGCTGAGACAATCATGCTGGCATATGGGCTATACCTCAGAGCATGCAAAGGAGGAATCTGAAACAGAGGTGGAAACTTTTATGCTACATAATAGAACCTTGCTCCTTTCCCTCCCAAGGAGCAGCAAATGGTAAGAAGGGCAGAAACAAGTGATTTTAGAAACACTTACCTAAGAGAAGTTTTGAATGAATGAAGCAGATAAAGAAACAGAAGAAAACGGGCTTTTTCAAACTGAGCCCATCAAATGATAGCAGGATGAATAAAACAAAACAAAACAAAAAACACAAATGCCAGTTATATATACCCTTATGGGGTTCTAGAAACTCCAAGTATAAATAACAAATCCTAAAAGTTTCCAGATGAGTCAAAACAGGTCATCTACAAAAGCAGAACATCAGACTTCTTACATAACACATAAATACTACTTTCTTTTACTTATCCGTTACTCACATGAAAAAGCTTTTCTGTCTTTGGAAAAACTGCAACAACATCATAGAGCCGGGCCCTTGAAGAAGTTGCTCTCTAGGAATACAAAAAGAATGTTATCATACAATAACAAAATCTGTACACATGAAATTCTGTCTAGTGACTGACTCACACTTATATTTCAATCATGGAACACTTCTAATATACTACTGACATTTCTGCTTTGCTGTGTATGTTGGCAGAAAAGACCTAAGCACATGAGAATTTAGATACATATATCCATCTCACTAATCATTCTCCTCCTTCCTTCCTACATTGGTTATACTTTAACCACGTACCAAACATTGTGTTTGAGATGTAAAAATCAAATTAGGCTAGGCATGATGGCTTATGCCTGTAAACCCAGCACTTTGGGAGGCCGACGTGGGAGGACTGCTTGAGCCCAGGAGTTTGAGACTAGCCTGGGAAACATTGTGAGAACCCATCACTACAAAAAAATTACAAAATTAGCTGGGTGTGGTGGTAGGCACTTATGTCCTAGATACTTGGGGGGCCTGAGGCAGAAGGGTCACTTGAGTCCCATAGGTTAAGGCTGCAGTGAGCCACATTCATGCCACTGCACTCAAGCCTGGACAACAAAGTGAGACCCCGTCTCAAAAAAAAAAAAAAAAAAAAAAGGAGAAGAAAGAAAATTTCATTTCAAACCTAAATTGTGTGAGTCTGTATATGAAAAGACTAGAAAAAATATATATTTCTACACAAACATATAATCTCTGAATTAGGGAATAAAGTGTCATATTTCTTCTCTGCTTGTTGGCATCTTCTAAAATTTTGCAATCTCTTATTTTGTAAAAAGTATAATAAAAGTTAGGAGGGTATAAGAGAAGCAGCAGGTGCTGTGCTTGAGCAGGTAAGAGGGCCTGCTAGGCAGACCTGTGCTGAGATAGGGCAGGGTCCAGGTCTCAGAAATAGCCAGGATCTGGGATTTGCTCTCCTTCACCTGCCCACTCCCACTTGTGAAGGATACAAAAAGGAACATGAACCAAGATGTTCATGGTAACAAGAGTAAATGAAAGTCTTTACATCTATCAAAAGTCAGCTCCATTTATGTCTACCTGGGCCTAAGGAACCAGAATGCTGCCTTGCAGGTGTATAAGACACCAAAAGTTGGTTTTTCACAATTTCTTTAGCAACAGTAGCTGTTATAAAGGGGGTCTTTCCTTAATTACTTTTATTCTATGATGGAGATGTCTATCCCAGCTAAAGATAAAACAGTTCACCTTCTCAGGGAATCTCACTTTCTCTCTCCCCTGATAGCAGGCATACCTAAACCTCTCTCATTTAAGAAACAAAATCTCTTTATGTAGCAGATTCTTATCCACCAACCACCCTATGCCTCCCATTCTCCTATGGAGTCAAATTTCTTAAGCAAAGTCAGCAGCAGAGTCTGCATTTTCTCACATCTCTATCATATCCATTGAAATGTTTTTTGCTAAGGCAGCCAAGGACTGTCATATCAATAAATCTGACAGACTTTTTTTTTTGCCTTTCTGCTTGACTACACAGGTATACTGACCCTGCTGACCTTTCATTCCTTCTTTTCTGTTTTCCCTTTGCTTGTTGTCTTTCTACTTCTAGGGTAGTCCCTTCTCAGTCTCCAATTCTAGCTCATCCTCTTTTATACCATTAAATAGTGAAGTTCCTTAGGATTCTGTACTAAACTTCTTAACACAATGCACGCTGGCCAGGAAGTCTCATCCATTCCCATGATTTCAATTACTCACTGCAGGTGAACACTTCCAAAGCACCATCTTTAATTGGGATCACTCTTCTAAAGGCCACATCTTTTTTTTTTTTTTTTTGAAATGAAGTCTGGCGCTGTTGCCCAGGTTAGAGTGCACTGGTGTGATCTCACTGCAACCTCTGCCTCTCTGGCTCAAGCGATTCTCCTGCCTCAGACTCTGGAGTAGCTGGGATTACAGGTGCCCACCACCATGCCCTGCTAATTTTTGGATTTTTAGTAGAGATGGGGTTTCACCACGTTCGCCAGGCTGGTCTTTAACTCCCGACCTCAAGTGATCTGCCCACCTAGGCCTCCCAAAATGTTGGGATTATGGGCGTGAGCCACCGTGCACATCTTTTTTGACAGACTCTTTTGAAACTCTCACAGTAACTCATCAGGATGCCCCCAAACCTGCTTGTTCGTATGGTCCATCTCAGGAAATGGTACCATTACCCACCTGGTTGCTCAGGCCACTCCCTCAGGCCTAGGGAGTAATCATCCTACATCCAATTAACCAACAAATCCTTTCAATTCTCCCTCCTGGATGCCTCTTAAGTCCCCTCCTTACCTCTCTCTAATCCATTATCTGTAACTCAAACCTCATAATTTCACTCCCTTAGTTAAAACCTTCAAGGGCTTCCAACTGCTCTTGGAATCCCCACCCAAGTTTATATCTCTAACCTCATCCCATGTAACCGGTTCGCTAGGCTTAGCCCTATTGTTTGGTTTCACTTCCCAGAAAACACCATGTTTTCCTCAGCTTCAGGACCTATGCATAATCCATCCTATCTGGGAACACCAGCTCCCTGCTTGTCACCTATATAACATTTACTGACTCTTCCGTCTCCCAGCTTGAATATCAACCTACTCAGGTTACATACTCCCGGAGCATCCTTTATTTACCACTTCCTTACCTTGGAACATTCCTTACCTTTGTAATTATTATTTGTTCAGTGCTTGTCTTGCCAAGTAAACTCTAAGCTTTATAAGTTCAAGGATTGTGCTCATATTATTTATGGCAATACCCCCCAGCACCCACCTCAAGTCTGGTGCCCATGAGTTCAGAATAACAGTTGCCAAGGGATTCTTTAATTGTGGTATCACTACATATGTGCCATGAGTAAACAGAACAGATATATTACACTGTGTGAATTCTGAGGACAAGGAGAGCAGGCAGGTGTCATGGTTTGGGGGGGGCGAGGGAAAATGTAAAAGGGGGAAGACAAAGTGCAACATTGTTCAACATTAATCAATACAACTTACAAGGCCAAAAGGAGAGAAGAAAATTAATTAACTTACCAAAACATTGCAGTGAGATGGATCCGAGACAATAATTGTCAATCTAGTTAAAATTTTAATTGGTCTTGATTTTCCCTATTTAAAAAAAAACATGATGTTAAAAAGTACAAAAGACAACGACTGATTTTCCTGTTTACCAGTGGAAAGTACTCATTAAAAGGTACTGGCTATAAGGGATAGTGAAGATCAGTAAAATCCAGTCCTTGTTCTCTATGAATTTACAATACAGACACAGAAAGGGATGTATGTATCTTAAACTACATAATGAGATAATTTTAAAGTTGTAGGACTTCAGGAAAGAAGATCATCAAAGCAGTATTGAACTGATAGTAAAAGAATGTTTCCTGAAGAGCTGAGCCTTGAGGAAAATGTAAGACTGGTACTCAGAGTATGGTGCAGCTCAAGTTAGAGAATACACACATAATTAGGTATCTTTTAACTGAATAAATAGATACTATGCTTCTTAAGCAACAAAACACCTACCTGTACAATCGGCAAAGTTGTGAAGAGTTCAGAAACAGCTATTGGTTTTTCAATTTCCTACAACAAATGATAAATAGTTACCGCACATTGAATACATCAATAGCACAAGGCATAATGGAAAAATTATGAGGGGTTCTCAGAAAAAAATACGCATTTATTTTTAAAAGAAAGCAAGGTGATTTCTGGTATTCAAAAAGACTTTTTAAAATTATTTTTAAAAAGAAAGCTAAACAGAGAAGCAACTGTAAACATCAGTGAATAGGAAGAATGAAAACTAATTTTTAGACTGAAATAATCTACAGGATACAGTTGTTGGCCTGAAGAGAAATATACATACTTACTAGTAGTGTCTAAGAGAGAAATTAGTTAATAAGTCCATGACAATAAAATAAAAAGGACTAAATATTTTGAGTACAGTCCAGCCAATAACACTTTTTGAACAGTGAAAGTAACTTAATTTCAAATCAACTTTAGGAATCCTGAACACTATATCATAGTATCTCACAAAAATCTTCATTGTTTATATAAATATGTATCAGTTCAACTGTTAACATATAAAAATAGAAAAGGAATAGTGCACAAAGGAGTGCATTTAAGAAATACTCTAATCTGTAGCTTCCAAATTACCAATATAAACAGAATTACAAATACTTATTTATGAACTTATTAACTTCAGAAATATTACTTTACCTGTTTCTTTTCCTTAAAGTCAACGATATGATTGATAGCAACAACTGAATAGCCAACTGAAAAAGAAAAATTGAACACTTTTGTTAAATATAACAACCTCTCCTTCCTGTAACACAGGTCCATCCTGACTCTAGATGTCAAGAGTAGGCCATTTAAGGAGTGGTTATGAATGTGAACTCTAGTGTCAGTCTGCCTGATTTAAAGTCTACGCACTACCACTTACAAGTTGCTTGATGTGAAGTTTCAGGTTCTTCATCTGTCAAATAGTGAAAATAACAACACTTACTTCATACACCTCTCATGAAATTTAAATGAAATAATACACACGAGGTGTTTGAGAACAGTGCCTGGCACATAGGTCTTTGTTTAACCATTATGAATTATTATTAAAATGATACTAAAGACTCTTAACTTTGTGCTTCTCCTTTTCAACTGTCATTCTCTTTCATGTCCCTGTATTTTCATCCCATCAAGTTCCTACTTTATCACTGTCACTTTTATTCTCATTCTTTTGCTTTTTGTCCTTCCACTTCCTTCAGAGACTCCTTTCCTAGGGAGAAATGGAGTGATAACTCCCTCACACCACTGCCGCCCACTTCCCATTCGAAGCTGCACACCATCGACAGACTGGGAGCTCCTTGAGGTCAAGGGCTTGCTTTATTATCTTCATCAGTTAGCACTGTTCTGGACATTTGGGCTACCAAAAAACAAATCTAAAAATCATGATTCTCATCTTTAATTTTTAAAAATACCAATGGGGATGAAAGGATATTAATATTAAAATACATATCAATGCCAAACTCTCAACAGTTTGTCCAACTTCCTTCTTCCCTTCCTCCCTCAAGTATTTACTGAGCATCCATTACTTGACAAGCCCTAAACTGGTGTTGAGCATATAGGATAAATAATACAATCCTTCTCCACAAGAAATGTACAGCCCAGTCTGTTGGAGAACTAAGGCAAATAAGGCAATTAAGCAAGTCATTGTATATAAACACACTTTTTTGTAAGTAAGTTTTCTATGGAAGTATATAGCACAATGAAACCTGGTGTAGGGGTCACAAAAGCCTCCCTGGAGAAAGTCACCCTTAAAAACAAAAAAATCACATGTATGCCTGTACCTTGGGCTTCACCTTGCACCCAGTTAGTCAAATCAACCAGTCACATCTTCTCCCTATTCTTCTTTACCACACTCCCAAATCTGCTCTAAACTTCCTTGTTATACCCATTTGGGATATCCTTTTGGCTACTAAACAATGTCCCTACCATTCTACAGAAATGTCAACTAGGATCTGTTTCTCCACAAAACTTTTTCCTAGACTACTCCTCATCTTGCAGCTTACTTACTTCCCTAATCAGGCTTTAAGGTATTTTAATTTACACAGTGTATTTCTGAAGCTTATTATTGGTTTCTTATATCACATCAGAAACTAAGAACCAGGGCTCTGTCTTCCCTATTCTTTGAAAATGTCCACTATTTATTTCCAGACTCATCAAATAGCAGTCCTTTGTCTGACTTGTAAGTTGAGGCAACTTTGTCATATGCCATGAATTCCATTTAATTTATTAAAAAATAACCACTAACAATGTACATAATTACCACATCTCTTTCAAGTGTATTTTAAACTGGGGGAAATTCTCTAAAGAAATCATTATAACTTTTCTTTTTTGTATTTTTTTTAATGTGTTCAGTTTATTCCACAAGCATTAACTGAGTAACTGCTATGCATTAGTGCTTGCAAAGTGAGTATGTTAAGCACAGTAAATAAAAGGATAAGACATGGCAATTCTCTTAAGAAGCTCATGATTTATTTAAAAATGGGATGGCATCAGGAAAAGCCTATTGAGGAGGTAATAATTGCGAAGAGCTACACCCAGGAAAATTTATTTTACAGGATCAAAGAACATTAGCGCTAAATGGCCCAGATCATCTTGTCTACTTTCCTCTTCGTGCTGATGAGCAAAGTACCACAGAGATAACATTCATTTAGTGGCAGCAGTGGAAAGGCAAAGTCATTTCGCCAAGGGTACTTCATAAAGAGGACAATTTAAAAAATGGTGTGATTCATTTTGCCAAGAAGTGGTTGTCATTTCTAGCACCACCTCTGAGCAGTATCAGTAATCAGAACTCACAATGAGCTGAAAACTGTCTCTGAGGAGCAGATGTTACTGCACGAACCTCTTGATTCTTTTTAATATCTCTATCCCCACACTTTACAGTCTAAGGAATACAGAACCCACGACTAACTCCAATAGTTAAAACAGGTTCTAGTCTCTGAAGGCTTTCGCTTCCCTTCGATTCGGGCCATGGTGTCCTCCTCCTCCACCTCCACCTACCCTCTCTCTGCCTGGATAATATTGTTCCAACACTCCCGCATCCTCCTCCTTCTCTGAGCCTCCACGGCGCTTCCTGTCCGTGCCCCAAATTCCAGCATTTGTTTAGACACTGTCGTGAGAGTCAGGAAGGGCTGATAGTAACTTAGAAGCTTAGAAGATTGTACACTTGGAGTCCAGCTCCGGTTTCTGTCATCTATCAGCTGTAGGTCCCTACGCGAATCCCTCGCCCTCGTTGGGTCTCCGTTCCCTCACTGCAGGAAAGGAGCTGAACAAGGTAACAACCTTGTTCAGTTTTCCGCGCCAGGAATCAGACCAACACCTCGGCGGGCATCAGCCTCCAGGGACATTCCAGGGACATCCCAGAGACTCTGGAAGACCTGACAGAGACGCATCAGGAAACAGTTCCTCCCAAGAGGATCCCGATGGTCAGGGTGGCATGAGGTTGGGCAGGCGCTGCCGCCCGCGAAGCCGGGGCAACTCACGGTGAGCCGCTGTCTCCACAAGTCCGCGCAGAGCCTTCAGGTCAGAACCCGCTCGCACGTCCAAGTCTGCAAACACCGCCATGCTGAAGTCCCATGACCACCCGAGCGCGCCAGTCTGCGCAGCCGCTGAGCCCGCCCCTCAGGCATGCTGGGAGCTGTAGTTAACCTGCGCAGTCCGTCTCTACCTCCAGTTGACTAGAGATTCGGAGACACTTACTTTGCCTTCAACTACCACCAGAATTTGTGTGTTGAAATCAACAGCTTCATTTCAGTCCCTCTTTGTCTTCTTCTGAATGACAATGTTTGGTTCCCCCTGGAGGGGTTCCAATTCCCCACTATTCAGTACTCCTATAAAATAGTGTAGAAATGAATTCGTTCAACATTCACGCCCACTGTATCTATTTAGCGCTGCTCATGAATCAGAGAATTCTTCTAATAGGTGAATGCTATTTAAAGAGTCCTAAAGAACACGTTTTCCTTTCCTTTCCCTAAAGTCCATTCCGTTGTTTACAATGGACTTTCCGGGAAGAAGGCATTTGTGTATGACTGACTCTAGGACATCAAAAGAGAACTACCCCAAGACGAGGGTACTTTTACCCAATCAGAACTGTTGATGTCAAAGACCGCTAATCTCTGTTGCAGTCAACACCTTCAACCACAAGATGGCAGGGCTCGCTCGAGGACGAGCGGTTACAGCCAACATTGATTTAGCCAAAGACACGTTTGAAAAGGGAGGTGCAAAATTGAGATGTTTTACACTTTTCCAGCTGAGAAATGTACAAGGTGACGCATATCCCACATATCTGATGTTTCCACTTTTTTCCGACTTAGTGTAAATGATCTATTGAGGATTAATAGCAAATTATACTACAAAAGTGTGACGATAGTTTACATCAGTGCTCTCAAACCACCTGTGATAAAGGACCAGTTTCTCCCTCCTTCTCCCCTACCTCCAAATTCTTCACGAACCAGGATGTGGTCCTTTATGCATCACCGGTAAGCAGCCTGGCCTCATGGGAATCACAAATTTGACAGCACTCGAACTGCCCTATACCTGGCTGAATAGAGTCTGCTGATCAGGAGCTCGGATATCAGGACAATGCCAAAGTACTGTAAACGTTGTAAACATCTTCACTTTTTGTTTGTTTGTTTTAATAACGTGAGCACAGCAACAACAATCACAGAATTAGAGGCTCGGTCATTTGACCTGGGGAGTGTCCCGGTTGGTGGCCTGCTGAGTTTTCGTTTGGTTGTTTCGTTTTTAGAGAGAGCACCTCGTTATTGACCAGGATGGACTCTAACGCAAGCAGTCCTCTCTCCTAGCTGTGATTCACACGCGCCCACTCCCGTGCCCCACCCATCAATTTCTCTATTTATTGATCACAGACAGTTCACAGACAGTCTCTCGTCTATGGACCACACCTTAACTAGTACACCTTTATGCGATTTTCTTGTCGTTCTCAGAAGGCAGGAGGGATCTGCTCCATGCAGTAGCATGCAATTCTCTTCTTGGTTAACTTTTGTAAAGAAAAGATATTTTGCCTTTTCCAGTACTTGATATTTCCTAAGTAGGAGTAGAAGAGAGTATTACTTCTGCAAATAGAATAAGGTCATATGAAACAAACCCTTTGTTTTTCATGAGAATGTCGAATGTTAATTTTGCAGGGTCACACAGGCATCTTCACCTATGACCATAACAATCTAGACTGGTCAGAAATATGACCAATGTGTGGTGAAGGTGAATAAGGTGATAGTTCAATTATTTTTTCATTTTTAGTTGACACATTGTAATTATACATATTTATAGGGTACAATTTCATGTTCTGATATATGTATATGTTGTATAATGAACAAATCAAGGTAATTAGCATAGTCATCACCTCATGTATTTTTGGTGATAACATTAAAAAAACTCTCTTCTAGCTGTTTTGTGATATATAAACAATACCTTACTGTTAACCATTGTCACCTTCTGTGCAATACAACATCAGAACTTATTCGTCCTATCTACCTTTGTACCTGTTGAGCAACCTCTCCCCATCCTCCCTCCCCCAATCCCTCCCTAGTCTGTTAACCATTGTTCTACTATTTACTTTCTAGACTTCTATCAAATTAATTTTTTTTCAGATTTCACATACGAGTGGGATTACACAGTATTTGTCCTTCTGTGTCTAGCTTATTTCACTGAAGATAGTGTCATCCATGTTATCCCAAATGACAGGATTTCATACTTTTAAAATGGCTTAATAGTATGTCATTATGTGTATACTACATTTTCTTTATCCATTCATTCGTTGTCAGACATGGAGGTTGATTCCAAATATTGGCTACTGTGAATAGCGTTGCAGTAAACATGGAGTGCAGATATCTCTTTGACATACTGATTTCACTCTCTTTGGATTATACACCCAGTAGTGCAACTTTCAGGTTATATGAGAGTTCTATTTTTAATTTTTTTAGGAACATCTACTGTTTTTCATAATGGCTATACTAGTTTACATTTCCACCAACCGTAAGTGTTCCTTTTTCTCTACATCCTCACCAACACGTATTTTCATTTATTGTTTTGATAATAGTCATTGTAACTGGAGTGAGGTGGTATCTCATTGTGGTTTTGATTTGCATTTCCTTTATGATTAGTGAGGCTGATGATTTTTTGATTTTTTCATATACCTGTTGGCCATTTGTATGACTTCTTTTGAGAAATGCCTATTAAAGTCTTATCAACCCATCACTTAGGTATTAAGCCCAGCATGTATTAGCTATTTATCCTGATGCTCTTCCTCCCCCTGCAACCCCAACAGGTCCCAGTGTGTGTTGTTTCCCTCCCTGGTCCATGTGTTCTCATTGCTTAGCTCCCACTTATAAGTGAGAACACACAGTATTTAGTTTTCTGTTCCTGTGTTAGTTTGCTAAGGATAATGGCTTGCAGCTCCATCCATGTCCCTGCAAAGAACATGATCTCATTACATTTTATGGCTGCATAGTATCCTGTGGTGTATATGTACCACATTTTATTTATCCAGTTTATCATTGATGGGCATTTGGGTTGATTTCAGGCTTTGCTATTGTGAAGAGTGCTGCAATGAACATATGTGTGCATGTATCTTTATAATAGAATGATTTATATTCCTTTGGGTTTATATCCAGTAATGGGATTGCTGGGTCAAATGGTATTTCTGCTTCTAGGTCTTTGAGGAATCACCACATTGTCTTCCACAATGGTTGAACTAATTTACACTCCACCAACAGTGTAAAAGCCTTCCTATTTCTCCTCAGCCTCACCAGCCTCTGTTGTTTCCTGACTTTTTAGTAATTACCATTCTGACTGTCATGAGATGGTATCTCACTGTGGTTTTGATTTGCATTTCTCTAATGATCCATGATGTTAAACTTTTTTTCATACATTTGTTGGCTGCATGAATGTCTTCTATTGAGAAGTGTCTGTTCATGTCCTTTGCTCACTTTTTAATGGGGTTTTTTCTTATAAATTTGTTTAAGTTCCTTGTGGATTCTGGGTATCAGACCTTTGTCAGATGAATAGACTGCAAAAATTTTCTCCCATTCTGTAGGTTGCCTGTTCACTCTGATAATAGTTTCTTTTGCTGTGCATAAACTCTTAAGTTTAATTAGATCCCATTTGTCAATGTTTGCTTTTGTTGCAATTGCTTTTGACGTTTTCATCATGAAATCTTTGCCTGTGTCTATGTCCTGAATGGTATTGCCTAGATTTTCTTCTAGGGTTTTTATAGTTTTGCTTTTTACATTTAAGTCTTTAACCCAAATGAGTTAATTTTAATAAACAAACAAACAAACAAACAAGCAAGTTAATTTTTGTGTGAGGTGTAAGGAAGGGATCCAGTTTCAATTTTCTGCATATGGCTAGCCAGTTTTCCCAGCACTATTCATTAAATAGGGAATCCTTTCCCTATTGCTTGCTTTTGTTAGGTTTCTCGAAGATCAGATGGTTGTAGATGTGCAGTCTTATTTCTGAGATCTCTATTCTGTTCTATTGGTCTGCATGTCTGTTTTTGTACCAATACCATGCTGTTTTGGTTACTGTAGCCTTGTAGTATAGTTCGAGGTTGGGTAGAGTGATGTCTCTAGCTTTGCTTTTTTCACTTAGGATTGTCTTGGCTATATGCATGCCCAGATAGTTTTTAAAACTTCCTTTTATAGCAATAGTCTTGCTATGCAGATGAGACAGGTCTTAAACTCCTGGCCTGAAGTAATCCTCCCGCCTCAGCCTCCTGAAGTGCTGATATTACAGGTGTGAGCCATTGTGCCTGGCCAAGTTGCCCATTTTTAATGGGTTATTTATTTTAGCTTTTTTGTCGTTATTATTTCAGTTCCTTATATATTCTGGATATTAAGCCCTTGTAAGATGCATAGTTTCCAAATATCTTCATGTCTGTTCACACTTTTAAAGTTTTTCCTTTGTTGTGCAGAGACTTTTTAGTTTGATTTAATCCCATTTGTCTATTTTTGCTTTTGCTGACTGTGCTTTTGAAGTGTTATTTAAAAAATATTTGCCCAGCCCAATGCTTGTCATGAAGCACTTCTATTTTCTTATAGTAGTGTTATAGTTTCAGCTCCTACATTTAAGTCTTTGATCTGTTTGGAGTTGATTTTTTAATATGATGAGGGATAGGGGTCTAGTTTCATTCTTCTGCATGTGAATATCCAATTTCCCAGCATGACTCATTAAAGAGACTGTCTATTCCCCAATGTGTGTTTTGGGCATCTGTTTTAAAAAAAATCAGTTGGCTATAGGTGATTTATTTCTGATCTCTCTATTCTGTCACATCACTGGTCTATGTGTCTGTTTTTCTGCTAGTACCATGCTGTTTTGGGTACTATAGCTTTGCAGCATATTTTTAACTCAGGCTTTGTGATGTCCCCAGTTTTGCTCTTTTTGCTCAGGGCTGCTCTTGCTGTTTGAGGACTTTTGTGGTTTCACACAAACTTCAGGATTTTAAAAAATATTTCTGTGAGGAATGTCATTGGTATTTTGATAGGGATTGCATGGAATCTCTAGATCATTCTGGATAGAATGTCTACTTCAACAATATTAATTATTTCAGTTCATGAACATGGGATATCTTTCCACTTATTTGTGTCATCTTTATTTCCTTAATATTTTATAGTTTTTATTGTAGAGATCTTTCACCTTCTTGGTTAAGTTTATTCCTAGGTATCTTTTTTGTAGCTATTGTAAATGGAATTGTTTTCTTGATTTTTAAAGATAGTTTGCTATTAGCATACAGAATGCTACTGATTTTTTGTATGTCAATTTTGTATCATGCAACTTCACTGAATTTACTTGCTAGTTTTAAATGGTGGAGTTTTTTGGTGGAGCCTTTAGGGTTTTCCATGTATAAGATCGTGTTGTCTGCAAACAGGAATGATTTGAGTTCCTCCTTTCCAATTTGGATGCCTTTTACTTCTTTTTCTTGCCTAATTGCTTTAGCTAGGAGACGGTTTAATTATCTGATGCTAATATGAGACTAAAGTGGGCTTCTTTGAAAGTCACAGAACTTTTGCTGTGGACTGTACCATATAAACTTCTTTTCTTCTCTGCACCCTAAGCCTAGATGAAGAGGAATAGAAAAGGTAAGAAAGAATGGGAATAGATAACAATCAGTATTTAGCACTATACTGAGGGTCAGCAAACTTGCTAAGTACTTATGTATGTATCTTATTTTCAAAGCAGCTGTGTGTTAAGTGCTGTTTTTTATTTTTGTTTTATTACTGTTTTCAGATCTAGACTTGCAGAAGTACTGTTTTTTACTTTTTGTTATTTTATTTTTAAAATCAATATTCATTTTTATATCTGAGAAATCTAAGGCATTAGTAGTGGTAGAACTACATGTGGATGGAGGCAATTTGTTTCAGTTCTTGCCTAGTGTACTGCTTCCTGAGCAAAGCAAGCAGAGACTAGAGTTGTTGGGGAGGGAGGAGGAGAAGAAGAGAAAAGAAGAGAAGGGAGACTGGAG